TTAGGGTTTAGGGTTTCGGGTTGTTCAAGCAAGGCAACGCTTTCAGCAACTTTTAGTCACCATTGTTCTCATTGCATGTTTTATGAAAATTATTACCAGGAAGCTTTCCCAAAGAACCCAATACCTCTTAATTAAGGAATATACCTAAAATCATAATATTAAGGCCCCGATATTTTAAGGTATATTCCTTAATTGGGTTCTCTGGGTTATGAATACTATTACCAGGAAGCTTACTACTGCTAATGTCACTATTAGTATTAGTCTTAGACTGAATCCTAGTCTTAGTCTCTGTATGAGTATTCGTATTAGGATTAACCACATGATTAGTACTGCTAGTATTGACATTGTTAGTAATATTACTACTAATTATTAGTCTCAATATGAGTAGTAACATTAGTCTTCGCATCATTCGTATTAATGCCAAAGTTAGAATCACAACAATACGAATGTTAGTTTTAATAACGAATATTGGTATTAACAATTAGTTCGTATCAACATTCTGCTGTGATCACTAATCATTAAGACCTAATTGCTATCGTTATTGCGCTATCATTGTATCCCTAAACCCTAAACCCTAAACCCTAAACCCTAAACCCTAAACGCACTGGGGCCCTGGCGCTCGTGCCACGCGCTGTGGACTTTTTGGAGTTCTCGGGCTTCGAGGGGACTCGGCAGCACCCACTACAGCAGGGTTTAGGGTTTAGGGTTTAGGGTCTTTTACCATACCCCTTGCTAGCTCGGGGCTGCACTGCCTCAGCTTTCTTTGTTTGAGTGGCAAGTGCAGCTTCTGCACGGGCACACTTCTCCTCAGATAGCTGATGATCCACACCCGAAACCATCTATGTGGGTAGTTCCCTAAATTAGGATCCCGTTTTCGGTCCCCAATATAGTACGGCACCCCAAAAGCGACCCTAATTTAGAGAACTACCCATGTCTTCAGACGGGTCTGCACGCCAGTTCTACACCGGAACATTGTCCTGCTCCAGTGCTGCTGCCAAGTGCTGGATCTGCTCCTTTGCTGCCTGACGCAGTGAGGAGTGGAGTAAGGCCGCCGGATCATGAAACGGGGCTCAGGGATATGGGCGAAGGAAATATAGCACAGCGTCGTATGGTATAGCAGAGTAGAGCAGGGTATAGTACAGTATAGTACAGTATAGTATAGAGGAGTGTAGTAAAGTATAGAATACTATACTAGTATAGCACATAGGAAACAGTACAGTACAGTAGAGAAAAAGTATAGTAAACTACTCTAGAGTAGAGTATTTTGAAGCAACACGGCCTGCAGCTCCGCTTGCAGTCGGACCTCGTTGGCCCTGGAAGCCTCGCACAAGGTCTCTGCTGGAGCTCATTTGGGTGCATCTCTGAATTCGGGTCCCTTGTTGTGGGTGCGGCACCCTGAACAAAAGACCCTAAACCCTAAACCCTAAACCCTAAACCCTAAACCCTAAGCCCTAAACCCTAAACCTTAAACCCTAAAAAGCCCTAAGACTTCCGTAAAAAGGGGACCCTAACTTAAAGAACTACCCTCAGGGCGCCTTTGCAGAAACCCACAGAGCCCCTTAAAGGAACCCTAAACCCCTACACCCTAACCCCTTAAAGAGTCCCCAAAAGGGGACCCTAATTTAGAGAACCACCTTCAAAGCGCCCCAAAGCAAACCCTGTATAGAAGATGTTGCAAGGCCCTTAAACCCTAAACCCTAAACCCTAAACCCTAAACGGCCCTTATAGAAAGCCGTAAGGGTCCCTTTACGGAACCCTGGAAGCGGACCCTAAGTTTAGAGAACTGCCCATACAACTGACTTCCACAGGGTTTAGGGTTTAGGGGCTCAATTTAGGGTTTAGGGTTTAGGGTTTAGGGTTTAGGGTTTAGGGTTTAGGGTTCTTAAACCCTAAGCCCTTATCAAACCATAGTGGAACTCTGCGAGAGCCCTTAAAGGACCCTTAAGGAAACTGCTCTTCATGGTGCCATAATGGAACCCTTAAAGAGCTCTTAAAGGACCCTTAAAGAAACTGCTCTTATGGTACCATAATGGAGCTCTTAAAGAGCCCTTAAAGGACCCTTAAGGAAACTGC